ATTCTACATTTGCTACATTATCCTGAAAAATATATACAAATAATTAAACAATATAAAACTAAATAAATTCTTGTGCTCTATGTCACCTTTGATGTTGATAATTCTTTTGCTGTATCTAACCTGGTAATAATTAATATATTTCATTTTATCTGGCTGCTCATGGCCAGCGGCAGATTTAGGAGCGGGTGTTTTAGGAGCGGTCATTCCCCCCACCTTTTAGAAGCTTTCTTTCCACCTTTTGGAAGCTTCCCCACCCCCTACCTTTTGAAAGCTAAAAAAAGAAGAAAAAGTAAAGTAAGAAAAAGAAAAATTGATCGCCCAAAATGCATCAAAAGTTATTTTCGGACAGCCTAGGGTAGTATTATCTCGATCTGCTCCACTTTTGCCACCACGTTTGGACATCTCTGGATCCGCCCCTGATGGCGATTACCCATCGGAACTGACTTCCGCAAGGCAATTGATAATAAAGCAGTACAAAAAACATGTAGATATTATTAATTTGCAGGAGATGGGTTATTTTCCGGGAGATTCTCGCTTGCTTATGGGAGAGCAGGAGACCATCCTGGTCTCTGGGAGACTTCCGGAACTTGCGGGAGACTTGGGATCCCTGTTCTTGCGCATGCTCTCTCACCTCTAAATGGTTGGACATCTTTCCAATTCTGTCGTTTCCTAATCCAAGTAATTTATCAGCGGTTGGAAACTTTAGGAATTCTTCAACAGTAACGTTAACCTGGAAAACATGAAAGTCTATATTATTTACCCTCCTATTTAGATATGAAGCACTTTCTCACTTGTCTTTGGCATTAAACATAAATATGGTGATAGGTGTTTCTTCTTAAATGAGATGAAGGCAAAAGAAGCATAAAACAAGAATCATGATGAGTGCAGCCCCAAGAAAGATACCAAACGTAGGAACTTAGGGTTGGGCAAAGCTGTCTGACAGGGGATCTCCTAAACCTCTTGGTGCCTAAGATCTGGCAATTTCACACAATTTTATGCTGTTCCATGTTTTAGATCAGTATTATGCATAAATTATTTTTTTGTAAAAATGAAAAAAAAAATGTCATGGCAGACAGACCCTCGGCTTGTTTGATGACAGATTTAGCCCCTGTCCCCCTGGTGTTCTGAAAGGCCCTTAGCTTATTTGACGACAGAATTAGCTCCTGCCCCTAGCCCCTGCTCCCCCTCCCCGGTGTTCTTACAGGCCCTTGGCTTGTTTGACGACAGATTAAACCATACACCACCCCATTAATATGGTTTTGAAATTATAATCACATGATAGCAAGCTGATGTGAATATGGTTGACAGTCTGAGGCTTAAGAGCAGGGATGCCCTATTCCAATTAGACTTTTCTGCATGGGAAAACAGAATGGTAATTCTTGTAATATGTATGTAATGTAGTTACAATTATAAGATGCATTATACCGAGGCACGGGCCTAGCTTGCTCAGTAACTTCCTTCTCCCCTACGAGTCACTTGTCTGAGCTACCCGGTAAACCACTGCCAGCTACTCTCGTCTGCCCTAAACAGGGGATGAATGAACAACCTACTCAATGACAGTTGTGTACATTGGACTAATGCAGGCCTGTAACCAGCTTTCGTAATGGGGAGGATCTTTTTCAATGTGACTGGAACTTTTGGGGTCCAGGGGTTCTCTCGAAAAATGTTGAAAACCATGACCGCCACCTTCAATTCAAAATGCTCTTCTGGTGTGTTTGCGCTGCTTTCAAAGGAATTACAATTTTCTTGAATTAAAACTGAATCAATTTGTTATGATGTGCAAATATTGAAGAATTGGCAGTAGGATATACCAGGTAATTTTGTTAGTAGATCAAATGTAGTAGTCTACAGACAGGATCACATCATATACATCATCATCATCTTCCTTTACAGTGCAGAACGTCTTTGGAGTATCTGCACAGAAGTGCATAAATCGCACTTATAAAGTTCTGTTTTGTGTCGGTCTAGTAGAGCAGAACTCCCTATTCTGTGGGGGGGGGGTCGTCCGATCCCCCTCTGGTTACGGGCCTGTAATGGTTCTTACCCGAGCAGAATTGTTCCACCATCAGAACCATAGGCAAGCGTGGCGCTCAGACTATTGCCGATATTACAGCTATAGCGTGTGGCACCCCTGACTTGGGCCAAATAAAAAAGACTGTTGGCCATTCCCGAACGACCCACAATGTACGAAATTGAGGTTCGGCATTTTAGCTTCTGTTTATTTATTTTTTTTTACTACAATGAAAAATATATTTTTTTAATGAGCTAAAAAGGCTGGAATAAGACTATCTTGCTGGACGGTAGGTGATGTGACAGTGTTATGCGATTGTTTTGCTTTTAAATATAGATTTAAAAATAGTTTTTGTTGTATTTTCTACTTTTAGGCATAAAAAAAAAAGGGAAAAAAAAACTTTTCCTACTGACCTACCCATTTTTTTTATTTTTTTCAAAACGTGGCCAACACAAGAATTTTTGTTTGGCCTTATCCACTTGGCCATTTGACTTCCTATGCATCGTTTACTGGTTTTAACATGACTTGGGCTTTGCGACCAAATAAAATGTGACATAGGCTGTTCACACTGCACCAGCTACATCAAAACAGGTCTTTAATACACCACATTTGCATTACATGTAACATTGTATTATGGTGTAAAATCCAGAAATATCCTAGCATGCTCACATTGACATGTTATGCTTAATGGAAGGAGCAGTTTACTGAAATTTCAGTAATAAAAAACCAAAAAAGCAAAGCTAAAATGCCATGTTTATTCATCCATTCAAACATTACATAAATATACATTCTATAAATTCTTGGACATAAGCTGAATAAAAAATGGATGGGAAATTTAAATGGAAAAAATGTTTGACGACAGATTAAACCATACACCACCCCATTAATATGGTTTTGAAATTATAATCACATGATATCTATCTTGCTGGACGGTAGGTGATGTGACAGTGTTATGCGATTGTTTTGCTTTTAAATATAGATTTAAAAATAGTTTTTGTTGTATTTTCGTGTATTTTCTACTTTTAGGCATCAAAAAAAAAAAAAGGGAAAAAAAACTATTCCTACTGACCTACCCATTTTTTTTATTTTTTTCAAAACGTGGCCAACACAAGAATTTTTGTTTGGCCTTGCGACCAAATAAAATGTGACATAGGCTGTTCACACTGCACCAGCTACATCAAAACAGGTCTTTAATGCACCATATTTGCATTACATGTAACATTGTATTATGGTGTAAAATCCAGAAATGTTCTGGCATGCTCACATTGACATGTTATGCTTAATGGAAGGAGCAGTTTACTGAAATTTCAGTAATAAAAAACCAAAAAAGCAAAGCTAAAATGCCATGTTTATTCATCCATTCAAACATTACATAAATATACATTCTATAAATTCTTGGACATAAGCTGAATAAAAAATGGATGGGAAATTTAAATGGAAAAATGAACTTGTTTTCTTATAAAAAGCTAATTGACATTTAAAATGTATTCAAAAATACTAAAAAAGGTTATCATTGTTAAACTGACTCCAGAAATCACTGCAAGACTATGATAATTAAATAAATTGTATCCATGGTATTAATAGTAATTCAGAAATTAAATCTTAAATATACCCGTAAATACCTAAACGTTAAATGAAGTATGATAAACTAGAAGGTGTTGAGGTATTTGATCACTTTCTATGCAAACAAATATATATTTTTGGTAAAATTACAACTGGAAAATTTATTTGGGAAATTGGTATTTGTGTTGTAATTAAAACACAAAACACAAGCTATATTCAAGCAATAGGCTGAGTGTGGCATGCCTGGGTGTTCATGATAAAATAAAAAGGATAAATTAAGAACAACTTGGACATGAAAATATTTGGCATAATAATTAGCATACACTTTTAAAATATAAAATAATAAGATTGCAGTGAATAAAAAAGTGGAATGATAAAAGTTTCTAAAATAAAGTTTAGTTTATAATAGATGCTCTTGTCATAATTGGTGTTAACTCATTCTACTATATATTCAGATTTTGCCTAAAAAATAAGTGTGATAGTTTGCTATTGTGCTACAATTAGTCACATGAGCAAGACAATATATTTTTATGTAATAATAAAAATTTTAAGTATAGCATTTAGATCATTAGCAAAAGAGACATCTCTATAAGTCATTCTAAAATGTGTAGTTTGGGTGTAGTTTGGTCTGAGTCAAGTGCACTTGGGGTCATAATTTCAGATTGGCCATTGTTTCTGTCAAATCATCATTCTGAAATATTAAAAAAAAAACAAAAAAAAAACTTTTATTTTAAATTCAAAGAACTGTTGTGTGTATTAGCAGATCAGGAAATTACAAAGAAAACTCATTTCTTTTCCCAAAGTTAATGTCTTTTAAAGTCTGTGTCCACAAAAATGTCAGAAACAATTGCCACTGAAAAAATGATGCAAGGAATTCATTTAGGCACTTGAATGTTGCATGTCCACAGTTTCCCCGCACAGGTCCACAGTTCCCCACACACAGTCTTAGATTAAGTATGTCCTCCATCCCCTCCCACTCCACACAATGCATAATGATAGCAAACAGAAGTATAAAGGTGTTGAGGTATTTGATCACTTTCAATATTGACTGATTGAGAAATAAAACTATGGTAAATATCAATAAGGTCAGGAACACAATTTGTGTTGCCAATATATTACTATTTGTGTTGACCTTATATGGTAAATATCAATAAGGTCAGGAACACAATTTTTGTTGCCAATATATTACTATTTGTGTTGACGTTATATGTTAATGGCAATAAGGTCAAGAAGACAATTTGTGTTGACCATATATGGTGAATATCAATAAGGTCAGGAACACAATTTGTGTTAAGCTTGATCATCATATTTTGGGCTCCTTATTGAAAATTAAAGTTATTGCCAAAACATTGTTCTTGAACTTGATTTTATACTAAATATGTTATCAAGAAAAATAGAATACATGATAGCATACTGTAGATGATTCAACTGCATCCAATTAATTGTTACTGATTTGTGGATAATAATAGTACTTAAGTTCACATACCTGATTTTTACCAGCATCTGGCTTGTGTGTAATTGCTGTTCCTGTAACCACCAGTGCTGGATCTTTCATTCTTGTACCTTCCTCTACATCCACCGCTTTCTCTTCTTCATCATCCTCATCATCATCCTCATCATCATCTACATCTTCATAATCGTCATCATCGTCGTCATCGTCTTCATCCCCTTCATCATCACTGATCAAAGAAATAGTAATCATTTATTGAGTAAATGTAATTGTGGTAACAAATTGGCTTCAACCAGCCTGATTTACAAATAAAAGCATGACCATATAATGGCCAAAACGAGTGTTATTATTCCCTTCATAAAGATCGCGAATCCATGCGAAGAGCGCCCCATTACAAATAGTGAGATTAACTGTATAGTATGCCTGAACAAGCATGCACAGCTCAAATGTAATATATCTCGGCTGAAAACAATTCATATTTCTGGCTTTTAACTTAGTTTTGTCGCTTTATTGGTTTAAATGTTTTCTTTTTAGGCGAGATCTTTTTTATCTCTTGTTTCGTGTACTCTTTTTTAAAGATCTTCGAAGGAGGGCGATATAAAAATAAAATTTTGTTTTCTTATTTAGCAAATAGTTTTGCCAAAAACATCCAGACAGAGGAGAAAATAAAAATAAAATTTTATTGGTGAATGTAAAATGGGATGTTTAAATACTTCAAATTTATATAATTAGGAAGAAATATACATATCTTATCTTTGGAAGATTTCAAGGCAGCTGAGGTCAAAATAAAAATAAAGAAACTTTTTTTTGACATAAAGCATTTAATATTTAGTGTTATATCATGTCATACCTGAATGAGCGTAAGACCTGACTTAAAGCAGTGAATATTTAGTGATATATCATGACGTACCTGAGGGAGCCTAAGAACTCCAGTTGTCCTGAGGCTTCCAATGTTCCTCTCACCTCTTCAATACCATCTTCTCCTAAACAGTTACCTACAACAATTGATATGAAAACAATTATATTCTGT